TCATTATTTGTAGATACTAACTCATTATTTAGAGATACTAACTCGTTATTTGGAGATACTAAGCCATTATTTAGAGATACTAACTCGTTATTTGGAGATACTAACTCATTATTTAGAGTTATTAACTCATTATTTTTGGATACTGAGTCATTATTTGGAGAAAGATTCTCATTATAACCACTTACAGGATCTTTTTGTCACCACATTGTCCGTAATGGTCCATATATTTGGGAGAAGACACTATCTGTGTTCACTAACGTTACATAAACAGTAAGAATGTACCTTCTACCCTGTCATCAGTATTCTTCTCTACATTCTGTTCCAGCTCAACTTGTTTCTTCTTTGCCTTTAGCTCCGCCCCCTTATACGTCATCGAAACACGTCAGTCATGTGTTTGCAGACACGTAGAAACACAAAGTCAGCGGTTTCTTCTGAAGCGTCACATGAATTCCCAGATTGTCTTTAGAGAAACACTGGTGAGTGGCTCGTTCTGCAGCGCAGCTGTCAGTCAGCAGAAGAATGAGGAAACATAAAGTGAGCTCCTCCTCCCGCTGGTGTGTCTGAGGTCGATCATTTAAAGGACTTGGATGAAGGAAGAGGATCCAACATGTCATGACTGACCTCGGATCTACACTTCAGACCTGGTTTTAGTGAGTCTCTCTCCCGCAGGTCCGGCATGGATCCCCGCTGTCAGGACTGGATGTCGGGTCTCCCGGAGGAGCTGTGGGACGTTCCCCTGACTAACCTGGCCATACCCGGTAAATACACAACCTCTTCTCCTCCGTTCATGAGACATCAAGTCATAGCATCTCAGAGGAGCAGTTCGATTAGGTAACGTCTCAGGAGACTAAATACTGGTCTCAAGACGTTAACCTTTATTTATCATTATGGAGGGTCACCCTCGTTTATAATGACGTCGAGTCAATTACAGAAAAACAACAAGAAAGAGAAGTACTGACTAAGAGGCCATATCTTTATAAAATACTGAAAGACAATAAAGTTATTTGATGAATTAAAATAATGAAAATATTAAATAAAATGGTTGTGCAAAAAACACCCAGAATTCACCAGTAAAGATCATTTGGTAGATGAAAGAAAATAAAGTTATGTAAAAAGCCCTAGAATTGAAGAAATAGGGCAGATCATTTTACAAATTAACATCTTTAAAATGTAAAATAAAATACAGTTAAGTACAAAAAAGTAAAAGTAAAATTAGGGCAGATCATTTGATAGATAACTTAAAATAAGATAACGTTATATATAAAAATATTTTACATGTAAAATAAAACCTGTAAAACACCAACAAGTAGAGTTTAGGAGGTTTAAAATGTCCATAAAGTTTAAATGAGTTGATTTTCTGGTTCTGTAGTTTCACTGTAAATTAACAGCAGTTTGTAGTTCTACCTAAAGTAGCTGGAACACGAAGAAGAGAGAACCAGTCAATGTAATTGGTTCATCCATATTCATGTAACACCAGCAACATTACATCATTTCTGATTATTATTTATTTCTCAAAAATAATGTCCAAGTATCTCAGAACAATGACTTGGTATCTCAGAACAATGACTTGGTATCTCAGAACAATGACTTGGTATCTCAGAACAATGACTTAGTATCTCAGAACAATGACTTGGTATCTCAGAACAATGACTTAGTATCACCTGTTTTGGTTTATTTATTAATTCCAGAAGTCTCCGTGAGACCACGGTCTCTTTTGGAGGAAAAGCCTGAGAACACATATAAACACAAGACTGTGTGTAGTCACACAAACGGTCACCACACAGACAGCCAGGAAATAAAGCTTGTCCGTTCTCACCTGTTCAGGGAGCCATGACACCATGAGCTACTGTCTGGACATCAACTCCCCGTTGATCCCGTCTGAACCGGACACCTTCAGGCTCCTGGACGGACTTTTCTACTGTTTCACCAGACCTGCCATCTTTAAATGGGCCACAACACAGGTGTGTGTGTGTGTGTGTGTGTGTGTTTATGTTAAAAGTGGTGTGAGGACCCCTATGGGACTAAGGCAGTACGACATATAGAAGAGTTTCTCTTCCTCTTTCTCTTCCTCTTCCTCGCAGGACAAAAGCATCGAGGAGCAGCTTTCGATGGGGATTCGATACTTCGATCTGCGTATCGCTCACAAACCCAACGACTCATCCAGAGACCTGTACTTCACACACGTCATATACACACATTTAACCGTTTTGGTGAGTTTAATCGTCTTAAAGAACATCTGTATATCAGTTACTCATCCTGTGTTACTTTGAATCTTTGAAGCTTGTCTCTCATCCCTTCACGGTGAATGGAGAATAATAAAACGCAGAGAAAAGTCTTGATGAATAGAAGTAACTAACAACAGCAAAACTAAATGAAAAAGATGAACAAGGACAGATTTTCTGAGCTTTTGCACCACGAAAAAAAGTCATACACCAATCGCATTGCTTAATATATTCATAAAACATCATGTAGGCTCCATTGTCTCAACTAGGAGGGCCATATCCACTCCTTCCTCTTTCCTTCACAATAAAAGCCCCATTCATTTCATATTGGTAGGCGAGTATTTAGCATTCTCGTGTGGTTTATTCGTATGGACCCCTGTGTGTGAATAACTGCTCTACAGATGGTCATTTTAGAGATGAAGCATTCCTTTAATGAAAAGTATTATTTTAGGCTTTTACAGCATAATTGCATTAAATGTCTTCTTCTACAGGAAACACTGTCGTCTGTGGCCGTCTGGCTGACGTCTCACCCAAAGGAGGTCGTTATTCTGGCTTGCAGCCATTTTGAGGGAATCGACGACAGACTCCATCAGTCGTTCATTTTCTCTCTGAAGAAGCTTTTCGGATCAAGACTCTGCCCCCAGAAGGTCAGCTGTCTCCTCTCTCCTCTCCTCCTTTTTTGTTTGGAAGTCCACAAAGAGACGCTAAATAAACAAAAATGGACTAAAACTACCACAAAGAGACGCAAACAACCAAAAGACACCAAATACGACCAAAAAGAGACATAACGACTCCCACAAAAGAGACTAATACGACCAAAAAGAGAGACAAAACGACTACAAAGACAAAAGAAACTACCACAAAGAGACTCAAAATTACCAAAAATATGTCTCTTAGCATCTGTGGCTCTTGTTCCTCTGTAGAATTGGGGGGTGGGGCTTTACATCTCTGCTCCCAGGGGCCCGTCGTCTCATAATATGTCCATGATAGAAACAACTCAAAGCCTCACACAGGCCCCAACGTGTCCTCCACAGGAAGCAGTCCTGACCCTGCGGAGCCTGTGGACGTCTGGTTACCAGGTCGTCCTGTCCTACGACTCCCAGTTTGCAGCGAGACATGCAGAGCTGTGGCCCCCCATCCCTTACTGGTGGGCCAACCAGCGCACAGCGCAGGGAGTCACCAGCTACCTGGACTGGAACAAAGACCTGGGACGTCCAGGTGAGGGTCTTTAACACTTTCGATGTTTGACTCTCACTGCTGACTTGAGTTCCAAACATCACAGTGCTTTGTGTCTCCGTGTTTGTCCAGAGGGCTTCTTCGTCTCCGGCCTGAACCTCACAGCTGACAGGTTTTACATCGCCGAGCACCCCAAGCAGTCTCTGCGGACGCTGACCTTCAGTAACTGGGAGGGTTTGAGGACGTGGCTGGAGGAGCAGGAACCAGGATCAGACCCCAAGAGCCTCAACATCATCGCAGGAGACTTTGTGGGTCCACTTCCTCTCTGCTCTCTGGTCATCGCACTGAACCAGAAACTACTGCGGAAGAAGGCCGTCAAATGTTAGACTACAAAGAGACAGAAGATGAGCAGAAACTGACACAATAGAAAATAACCAACATGACACAAAGATGACTGGAGAGATGCACTATGACCAAAAGACCACACAAAGACCGAATACTGCTACAAAGAGATGCAATATGACCAAAATGACACACTGGACCAGAAACGGAAGAACGCCGTCAAATGTTAAAAAAACATTTTATTCCACAGGAGCTGAAACCAAATGACCTTCTGAATACACGATGTCCTCGTCTCAGTTCTTGTGTCCGTTCAGAAGCGTCTACATGACGAGTTCTAACATTCAGTTTTTATTCCACCTGAAAACATTGTGTGTGTTGTGACTCTACAGCTCTGATGTGCAATATGTTGACAAGAATGTACATCATTCTTTAATAAAATTATACTGTCAAATATTTTATTTTATTATCCAATACACAGTCTATATGTCTGTGGTTCAGTTTGCAGTAATGAGTTTCCAGAGTACCATAATATCTACACAGAGAGGTGTTGTCCACTAATAGATCAGTTGATTTAATTAACAAAGAATGACAGAAAAAGAAAAGTAAACATTTATTTCTTGGAAATAAATTATTCAGCATGAAAAAAAAGCATAAAGAACGACTAATCTGAGCCGTCTAATCGTCTAAGAGACGGCAGCCTTATCAGGATGCTAACATTTAGCTAGCTCTGGCTAACGCTACACTCTCGGTTCTTTCTCGTCTCCGTGGAGAGCTGCACATGCTCAGTAGGGACCAGGGAGCCAGTGACACGTGTTGTTGTTCCTGTGTGGCATAAATGAGCCGATAAATCATTGGAAGGCTGCAGCAGGACGGATCCCTCTCTTCTCCGTCATCTCCCCGTGAACATTTTCCTGTAGCGTCCGTGAGCGGCGGCGCCGATGATGACCTTGACGACGGCCGAGCCTTCATCCGCGTTCACCTGCACGTCCTGAACGGCGGCCTCCTTGTACAGCCAACTGTGGACGGAGACGCACGTTAGCCATCTTATTTAAAAAAAAAAAAAAAAAAAAAAACGAAACGCAGCAGCGAGGACGGCCGTCACCTTAACTGAGGAGAGCTGAGGTCAACGCTGAGCTCTAACACGCGTTTCCCCGTCGACTTCACGATCTCTTCCTCCACTGCCGTCCTCAGGCGGTCCAGACCTCGCTGCTCCAGGGCTGAGATGGGCAGAGCGTCCGGCTCAGACAGCTGATAGCTGAGACAGAAAACTCTCAGTTCACACAGAGAGGCTGTATACGTACGGTATATTAGGACAATTCATTACTATGTCTTGCATAGTTTTGAGTTCATTTAAATGTGACATTTTATTACATTTTGTGGTTTTGATCTTCTAGGCTGCTTAGCACATTTTCTATTATTTCCATTAAAGGGACAGTGTGTAGGTTATAGTGACATCTAGTGGTGAAGTTGCAGATTGCAACTACCTAAATACCCCTCCGCTAAGCCCCTCCCCTTTCCAAGCATGTAGAGAACTACGGTGGCCTTCAGGTAGAGAGTTATCTTTAGGGTTTTAGTACAACTAGAAGCTACTTTCACCAATACTCTGTTCTATTACATGAATAAATCATTGATTTTAATTCATAGTTTAGAGCAGCAAGAGTTTTGTTTACAAAAGTAAAGTCACTTTATAAAGTCATTAATATCTCACTGGAAACAATGATAATCAATAATAAAAAACATATTAGATAGTCTGTCCCCTTGTCCCCCTGTCCCCTTGTCCCCCTGTCCCAGCCAACAGAGACGTTTACAAGAACAAACTAAGATAGAAAGTTAGACCACAGACAGACACCTTTTCTTTTGCTGTCCTTGTGTAAACGTAGCGGCGGTGCAAATTGAATTAGGTTTCACTATTGTTTACAGTTTCATGCTTGTTGAACACTCCGGTCTTTAATAATTTAGCACCAGGTCCCATTTAGCACAGAGCTTGGGAACGCATCCCTTCCTTCAGGTAACATAACAACGTGGAAGCCTCTCTCTAGAGTCTGTGTTTGGTTTGTCTGTTCTGGGCTTCTGTAGAAAAACATGGTGGTGCAACATGGCGGACTCCGCCTCCTGCTCCCTATGCAGATATGAAGGACTCATTCTAAGCTAACTAAAATCCTCCTCCTGAATGCGACACGCTGGCCCTTTAAGGACAAACTTTGTCTTCTTACTTGTCAACGAGGTCCGTTTTATTGTGGACTTCTATCATGGAGGTCATCAGCCTGTCGGGGATTTGCATGTTCTTCAGAACTCTCAGCACGTTCACCTTCTGGTTCACCGTCTCCGGGTGACTGATGTCTCTGACGTGGACCAGCAGGTCCTGAGAGAGAGACGGACAGACGAGTCAACACCTCTGTAAAAACTGTAGTTCTGCTTCACGTCACAGAGTGGAAACCCACCGAGTGTTTGATGTCCTCCAGCGTGGCGGAGAAGGAGTCGATGAGCCGGTGGGGCAGCTGGGACAGGAAGCCGATGGTGTCCACGTACAGGACAGTCATGTGACTGGGCAGCTGGCCGGCGTGCACGGTGACGTCCAGCGTGGCAAACAGCTGGTTTCTGGGCTGAAGGCCGACGTCGCCCGTCAGCGCTTTGATCAGAGTCGTTTTTCCTGAACGGAAACAAAAGAAGTTTGGTTGAACTGTTAAATAATACACATACGATGTGTGTTATTTATATGTGTGAATATTTATAGGGCTATTAGAAATATTCTGGTTCAGATTTCCTCTGACAAAAAACGTGATTTCACAATTTCATATCGCGACGTCTCTAACTGCAAATACACATTAAACCTTTTGATAACAATTACTTATTCAGTCCACTAGGGGTGCTGAGTAACATTTAAGACACGTTTTTATGACTGACAAACGAGATTTTGCTGCAATAAAAATGAAAAACTTTATCTTGTTCGATAAAAAAAAGATGTTGACAAAATGCAGTTTATAAAAGGGTAATACATTTGGAATACATCACAATGTTTGATATTCAGCATATCGCAAAATGTTTAAAATCGCAATAATATCGTTTCGTGACTCGAGTATCGTGATAACACGTATTTTCTGTACGTGTCCCTACCTTTGGTAACGTAAAAATATAAAAGTCTCTCTAGAGTCAGTTTGGTTTGTCCTTTCTGGGCTACTGTAGAAACATGGCGGACTCCGCCTCCTGCTCCCTACGTAGATATGAAGAACTCATGCTAAGCTAACGAAAACATGATTCCTAGTTTCAGGTGATTAAACACCAATGAAAACAAATGTAGTTATGAATATTATATTACTTTTTTGCTAATAAATCCTCTAAATGTTACACACTGTTCTTTTAATGATTAACTTTCCTGTTTGAGCGAAAAAATACATTTTGCATTGCCATAATATTTACTTTCGGAACAATAATAAATCGCAATATACGGTGATATCGTTTATCTGGTGATTCCTGCCTCTACTAAATATATAAACTGTTTTATTTCCCAGCGTCTCACCACAGTTCGTGTATCCCAACACGGAGACGGTGGGGAACTCCTTGTGTCGACGCTGAGATCTCAGCAGGCTCCTCTTCCTCCTCAGTTTCTCCAGCGCCGAGCGGATCTTCATCTCGCGCTCCCTCAGCAGTCTCTGCTGGACCTCCATCAGCGTCTCCCCTGTACGGACCAATCAGCAAGCAGGATCAGCGGCTGAACATCCAATCACAGGTGTGCGTGTGGATTTATCGCCCCGGGCGTCGTTACCTGAGCCTCCGATGTATCTCGACCCTCCGCCCTGCTGATCCAAGTTTGCCATTTCATTTTTCAGACGAGACCTGTACGCCGTCAGATGAAGACGTTTTTAAAACCCCAATGGATGCTGGGAAACGAAACAAGTAAATAAATAAAAAACGTTACCTTAACAAGGGGATCTCTGCCAGAGAGATCTGTAGCTTGGCCTCTTTGGTCCTGGCGTTGCAGCGGAATATGTGGAGGACCACCGAGTATCGGTCAAACACTTTGACCCCCCAGGCCTCCTCGAACTCCCTCTGTGGGGAGGAAACACGGCAGTCAGCGGCTGAAAACGTCTTGTGTGTAAAGACGTACACGAGGCCTAAATAAAACATGCAGGAGTGCTCGTAAAAGCCTTCAAATCAGTGTTAAATACATCTGTGTTTATTATCTAAACTTTAACGTTGAGCTACTACAAGCAACCGAGGACGCATTCGGTTGAGAGTCACCAGTTAACACGGTCACTGGTTAAACTGAAACACCGGCTGCTCTGAAACAGTCGTGATCTCAATTCTGTAGAACGAGAGATTCTGACAACCAAACAAGCAGATAGTTTTTATGCCGGTAACAGTTTTAATTCAATGTTTAATGCTGTTAAGTCGTCTGGATAACTGGGACAAAACGACACTTCTGTTACCAACATGTGCACGTATATTAAATGACTGCAGCTGTAAAAGTGTTTATTGTTATGGTTGAGGAGCGGATGATAAATGATAACTGGTATAATAAATTGGATGATCTGTTATTAAAAATATCTTTTAAATTGATTTGTGGAGAGTTAAATGACCATATTTAACACCATTCAGGTGACACCCAGGAGGCAACCTCCGGTTCTTTAAAGTGAAGTCAGTGCTTCATGTGTTAAAGCTGCATTCTCT